AACCCGTAAGCCTGAAAAAGCTGGTGCTCCAGGCAAAACGTTTCGTGTTTTTGTTCACGTATGTTTTAGAAGGCGTGTGAATCTATAGCACATCGCAGCACTGGCTCTAGCACTTGATTTTTCTCGAAAAGCGAGATTTCGCCGTAGCTACTGCCTTGTAGCTTTCCTGTCTCTGCCTTAGCGCGGAGCCATGTTGCCGGCACAGGTAGTTGTGCCCCTCACCATGGTTCAGTGGGAGCTTGACCAAGCCCCGCCTTCGCCCAGGCCTCCACCTTTGCCTCCGCGGTGGATCCGTCCCCCGGACTTTGCCTTTGCCCCAGCCAGCCTTGCCTTGCATGAGTGGAGCTGGTATGTTGTTACGTTCAGGGAATGCTTCGCCCTGCAGCCACATGAGGGCCAGCCTTTAGAGCCTTGCCTCCAGGAATTCCTGTTTTCCTGGACGGTCTGCCCCCGCATTCTCATTTGCCTGGAAGTCCATGAATGGCTTCCCTTGGTCCTAGCCAATGATGAGTGCCACCAGCTTATGGTTGAAATGCTTTTTTGAGACCTTCAGCCTCTCAGGTAGCCGCCTGGCCCTCAGCCATGGACCTGCAGCCGCCTCACCCATATTTTCTGCCTTTGCGAATCTTGCCGTATCAGTGGCACTGGCCGGGCCTGCTCGATGCCCTGCCACTGCCAGGTTACATGGGACAGCCCAACAGCCCTTGCCTTCAGGACCTCCTGCTGTCAGGTACAGTCGGGCCTCGCATCTTGCTGTTTGCAGGTGGGCCCTCTTGGTTGCCTTTAGCCTTGCTTTCTCAGGAAGCACATGAATACTTGGTATCACATTTGGACATTACCGACTAGCTTTCGCCCAGGTCCGAAGCCTACGCCGCGGATGCCGCCAGAGCCTTCGGGCTCCGCCTGGCTCGGCCCCCGGCCTGCGGAGCCAGACTCCGAGCTGTCACCAGGTGCATCCAGAGCCTCAGCTCAGCCAGCCTTTGCAAAGCCGCAAGCCCCGACCCCCCCTCAGCCCGCTTTCCTGCCTTTGGGGGGTGGTTACCGGAGTTACCACTTTCTCCCTCCTGCCTACTTCGAGCGGTTCGCCCTCTCGCCTGAAGCCTCGGATGCATCTAGCCAAGCTTCCGGCAGTGTTTGGATAGCCCCCCCAAGCCCACCGCTTTCAGGCAGGTCCAGCTCACAGGACTCCAGCCTTGATTCAGCCCTGCCAGGACTGCGATATCGTCATCCGCTGCCTTGGAGCCCTTTTAAGGTTCCCCTGCTTTGGCTCCTTCAGCCACCTCTTTACAAGGTACTTTGGTTTCCCACCAAGGACCTGCGTGAGCCTTTTCTTGGCTGGAGCCTTGAAGGCCTTCTCTTCGGCGTTGCGCCTTGCGCCAATATTTTGCTTTTTCTCAGCTCTCGCCAGGCAGTTGTGAACTTATGCCTTCTAAACAAGGCTTGCCATGATTACGTCGCGGAGCGCATAACCAAGGCCCGAGGATGACACTGCACTTTTGCCTTATACTTCGGGCCCTCAGCAAAATCGCCCTCTGCATGCCCGGGGCCCTACGCCTTGCTCGCTCTCAGGTACCTCCACCGTGCCGGCCGTTGCAGCCTCAGCCAACATAAGCCTACACATAAGCCGCGCCTGTTAAGCCCAGCCGTTTCCTTAAGCCATCCATGAGCCCCTTCCTCCAGCTAGCATTGCTCCTGCGTGCGGCCCCTCCAGGTTTCTTCGAGCCCAGGCCAGCACCTCAGCCCCCGAAGCAGATCCCGGCCTGTGCAAAGATGTTGGTCCGGGCAGGTTTTCGTTGCCCCTCTTGCTTTCAGATTAAGCCTACGTGTCTGCCTGCAGGTCGTCAGCCCTCGGCTCTGCCCTCTGAGTCACCTGCCCTCAGCTCTTCTTCCTGCGACAGCCAACCTGACTCTGCAGACTTCTCCACTTCTACATGAGAGAGGTCATTGCCGCGTCGGGGCCTTGCTTTTTTCATGCCTCTGCGCTATGCCCGGCCACTTGCACTCTGCCCTGCTAGCTTCTTGGCTGAGACAGCATGAGGGGGAACCAGCAGCCCCGCCGCCAGGACCAGCGCGCTCAGCGCTCACCCTGGCCTTCTCTTATGCCAATAGCCCTGCCCTTCAATGGAATCAGGGCCAGCCGACTGCCAATGTCAGCAACCTTTCAGCCATGGGCCGCATGAATGCGGGCCTTTCGGGCCCCCTAGCCTTTGACCCTGACACCAGCTCTGCTTACGATGCCTTGCAACCTCAGCCTTCCACACAGGACTTCAGCCAGGAGCCCACCGACGAGCCGACTGTACAGTCCCTCGCCGACCGCCTCAGATCTCTGGAAGCCCGTATCGGCATCTTGGAAGCCGACCGCCGTGGGGCGCAACAGGCCTTGTGGCACCATAGCCGACGCGCTCATGAGCAAGCGCGCCTTCGATGCCTTCTCTCGCCCTGGGTCTTTATCAGTGCAAAGATAGACGCCGTCAGGATCCGACTGGACCAGACCTACGCCAGGGTTGCCGGCCTTCTTCTGACACTTCAGCAAGCCTTCCCCACTATAGCCGTTTATTTCACCGAAGCAGCCGTAGACGCCTGCCAGTATCACGGCCCTTCAGCCTTGGCGGACTCCGAAGGTGATCCAGAAGCTTAGCCAATCACATACAGCCTTGCTAGCAGGTCAAAAAACTTTGGCAGCCTTTGCTTCAGTTACTTCCTACGAGAGCTTACATGCCGCTCCGGCTCAGGTCCAGCCATCTTCAGGCCAGCCGGTCATTTTCACAAGCACATAGCCTGCCCTCCTTGCCCTCTGTCAGGCCTCCTGCCCTTCGGCCTCTGGACGGTACAGGACCGAGGGAGCACAGAACAACTGCCCATCACTTCCGTTTTGCGTGAGCACTTGCACTGCCTCTTAGCATCTTGTTGCACTGCCTCTCAGCATCTGGTTCACAGTGCCTATGGGAGCTTCCGCACCGTCCAAAGCCATGGCGTCTGACCACGATGCCTTTTCAGAGTGGCTGAAGACGCTTAGCCCAGAGGACAAAGCCAAGCTGCAAGCCTCGCATGCCGCCTCCGCGCAGACGGCAGCCGACACTGCAGTTCATGATGATTCTCGGCCTTGCGATAATCCTTCCAGCCTTTCCCCACGTAGCCTTCTTGTGTACCAGAACCAGGAAGCCTATTACCACGCCCAAGACGGGTGTTTTACAGGCCCTATTCCAGCTTGTTTTGACTACGTTCCGCCTCAGGACGTGGCAGACCTTGATGACGCCGACACAGCACAGCCTTCTCAAGCCGCCACGGCCGAGCCCTCCCAGCCTTTGGTGCAGCCGTCAGTGCCCACAGCCGAGGCCGAAGCGGCTGCAGTCACGGAACAGCCTACAGAAGCCGATGAAGAGTACTTAGCCATGGAAGAGCCGTCCTCGTCAACCGCCCCCTTCCACTCCACGCCACAAGCCGGCCTTTTCTCCATGATGGGGCAACTCATCGACATGTCAGCCATCGTCTCAGCCGCCACCCACCAACAGCCTTTTCTCCTGCTTTTCTTCGATGCCGATGCCCAGCAGAAGCCGCTAAAGCGGCATGAGCTCTGGCAGCTCATTAAGCGCCCAGACCTAGGCGTAGCCAGAAACGCGGGATCCTACCTACCGGCGGACTCGTTTCTGCTCAGCCCTCCACCCTTCTTCCCCTCCTTTCCCAACGCGCCGCACAGCCAGCCTGACAGCGCTCCCATGCCCCACGCCAAGGCCGACCCGCCGCCCGTCAAGGCCGTGCCCCGCGGGAGCCATTCCGCCTCCCACCAAGACGCCGCCCGCATCCAAGCCATCACAGCCCTCGCCCTCCCGGAAAACTGGAAGCCGCCGGCCCAGCAGACCTGCCCGATGCCCACGCCTGCCGCGACCACGGCAGCCAAAGCACACAGCCTGCACCAGAGCCAGCCTCTAGCAGCTCGGGCCACCACATCCGGGAAAATGTCTTTTTCGAGCCGGAGTTCCTAGCCTCCGACCAAGCCGACCTACCCTGGCCCTTACCGACCGCCCAGCCCTTTTGGCCTAGCCGTGATCTGGGACTCTCGGACTTGGAAGATCGACGTCGACTCGCACTTTTATACGGTTGAGCCAGGACAACAGGAGCCTTTGCCCAGCCCTTGCCCTCCTCTGCCGGAATATTTTTCTGCCGATACGGGGGTGATCCGGTAGTGGCACGTCGGCGCCATGGGCAAGGGTAATCCCCGGAACATGGGGAAGCAGTCCGTCCCTACCCTCTGCCTTCAGCAGCTTTCGCGCCTTCCCGAGCCTTTGGTCGACAAGCGGAAAGGAATCATCCTCGATCCGCCCGACAAGCCCTACCAGTACAAGCCGCCGGCCCTGGCCCTGCCGAGATTGCCTTGCCCCAACATGCGGAACTGCATTATTCTCCCCACCTTCGAGCTGGACCCCGCCTTCGCCAGGGTGTACTATATGGGAAGCCGTGGAGAGATGCGCTGCGGCCTTCCCTGCTCAACCGTGCCTTTTTGTCCTTACCATTCAGCCTGTGGCCGCGAAATGCAAGAAGGATCTGTGGAGCACAGGGACAAGCATTCCGGCCATCAGTGTTCGCGCTGTAAAGAATTTACAGACCTTGGCCGAAGCCCTTTTGAACGGTTTGCCGCCGTACCCCCGCAGGCATCCTCGGGGTAGCCGCTTGCCTTAGCAGCCTTACACTCGCCTTTTGCAGCCTTCTTCAAGAATTGTATATCAGGTCAGCCAGCCTTCCTTTTGCTTAGGCTCAGGCAAACGGTAGTTTCGGCCGCGCAGCCAGCCGCCATCGGCTCCAAAAAAGAGTGCTTGCCCTCGGTGCTTGCCGTTTTGCCAAGCACTCAACGGTCTGTCCTTAATGCCTTCTTTTGCAGGACCACCTGGCTCTCAGTGGCGTCCTCAGCTGTTGCTGCGTTCAGTTGTTTCCTATTTCGAATGCCTGCCTTAGCCAATCATGGATCCAGACACAGACCCAGACGACTTAAGCAACCTAGAGTCATGGAGCCCGGTCAACAGCCTTCACAGCCATGCTCAGCAAACTGGGAGATCCTTGCCGGCCCCACTGTGGGCCCTCTCGGGGTTGCTACACCCGGACGACGGGCAACACACTTCCCCTCAGCCAGATCCCCCAGCCGGGAGAGCCTTATGTCGCAGAAACCAGAACAGGCCTTCGTGGCCCGACGTTTCCGGAAAGACTCTTCTGCCTGCGCTTCAACAGTGAACCCTATCCCTGCAGGGCGAGACAGGCACGTCCTCCTGCCACTGCAGTCGGTGCACAAAGCGCGCCCGGGTCTCCGGCGCCCATACGCCCGCCCCGCCGTTCTCAGTTACACAGCCGGATCAAGCCTCGCTCGCTGCAGGTGCCAGTGCCGGTTACGATGTACAGCCGACCACGCTTCCCGCCGGCCCTCAGCAAAGGAGGCCTACACCATCCGCCGGGTCCTCAACCCAGCTGGCGTGCCAGCCTTTTGGGACTCAGCCATCCAGTCTGCAAGCCTCTCCCGCGGCCAGCCCCCGAGAAGCCTTCAGTATGTCCCGCCGCAGCAGCCACTGCCAGCACCTGAGCGGCGCCGCTGGGGCCTAGATTTCACGTTCAAGACCTGCCCGCGCGACCAGCGTCGGCCCCAACCTCGTCCAGGCACACGCGTTTGCCTGACATGGCTCAGCCTGTAGGCCCTGGCGGCAGGCCTACTCAGGTTACCAGGAAAGGCCAGGAGGCCTCCAGGAAAGCCAAAGCCTTGGAGCAGTGGAAGGAACTCCTTCAGCTTCTCGGGGACGCGTCCGACTTGTGGAAGCTAAGTACTCCCCGCAGCTGATCGCACAGAGCATTACGCCTTTCACCGCTGGCACGCTGGAAACATATTTGTCGGCTTGCAGGCAATTCATGGAGTACCTCATCCTCAACAGCCTTGAAATCAGTACGGTTTCAGTTGCTAGCCTTGGAGACTTGCTCTGGGCCTGCCATTCCAGCCTTGAGGAAGATCGAGAGGTGTGCAAGACCGGCCCTAAGCCCATGATCAAAGCCTTATCCTGGCTAGCCAAAACAGCCGGCCTAGCACAGCTGGGGGCGGTGCTGTCGGACCGCCTCATCAGGTCTTTCACATCCCAAGCCGATACAGACAGGAGAGAAGCCTTGCCACTGCCTCTAGCGGTAGTGACAGCCTGGGAGCGCCGCATATGCCAGCCCTCGTGCCCTATAGAACTCTGTCTTCTATTAGGGGGTTTTCTACTCGCCTTGCACGGGGGTTTGCGGTTTGGGGACCTCCAGCGCATCAGCCTCAAGAGCCTATCCCTCACAGGACATAGCCTCAGAGCGGTGTGCTGGCACACAAAAACAACCAAGCGAGGCCAGCCCTTCGCCGTGCGCCTCCATGGAATCTCCGGCCGAGAATTGGCCAGCCTATGGGTGTTGCCCTTCCTCAGGGCCGTACAGACGGTGTGGGAGCGTACAGAGAAGATCTACGGCACAGACAATTGCCCCGATTTCATCCTGCCTACTCTACATAACCTTCGGGGTTTTCCGGGCAAGCCGGCTGCAGCCTACCACCAGCCTATGTCGTACAGCCAAGCACTAGGATGCCTTCGCTTCTTCATGTGCCGAAAACACCTGGAGGGCAACTCCCCGGAGCTCCTCACGCCAGCCGAAGCCTCCGCCTTCACTATGCATAGCCTCAAGGTATGCCTCTTGAGCGCCGGGGCACAGATTCAGGCAGCCGACAAGATCAGACAGCAGCAAGGCCATCACAAGAACCCTAGTGTGCAGCTCTACGGTAGAGACGACACCCTTGGAGCCTTGGCCCTGCAATCTGAAATCACCCAAGCCTGCGCCTTAGGTTGGCGGCCTTCACGACCAATCGCAAGGGGTGGCCAACACCCAACAGTGGAACCGCCCTTTTCCGTTAGCTCTGCCTCGCCTCCCGAGTCATTCCAGCTTTCTGCCCTCGGGAAGGGCATTGACAGATTCATTTAATTACGGGAAGCCGAACTGGAGCAAGCCAGCCTTGATACCCAGCTCGCGGCTGCGGAGACGGCCGATCACCAGCCCTTGCCGACTGAGGCACAACCCGAACAGGGGACAGACGCAGCCTGCAGCCTGCCTCCAACCATACCGGCAGACGACATCGAAGCCTTGCTTGTGGAAAGCTTGGAGGAACAGCCTCCCCCGCCGACATTAGAGGACATAGCCCTCTTCCAGAATGGACCCTGGGGATCTGTTCACGCACAGCCGATGGGAGCAGATAAAGCGGCCTGCGGCAGGCCCCGCTCCACGGCGGCCTTTTGCCCTACATGCCCGAACACGGCCTTTTTCTGCCGCAGAGCGGCTTGCCGCCGCTTGCTGGACGCTCTGCCTTAAGAAAAAATCTCGGGAGCGCGTCCCTGCAGTTGCCAGGCCAGCCTCTTCATTGCCACTCCACAACGCAGCCATTTAGGCTTATCCCCCCCTGCCGCACATAGGTTGCCAGCAAGCATGGCGCTGTTTGAGCAGTCAGAGCTCGCAGCCTTCCTGCAGGCGCAGGGGGTGCACGAAGTAGTCTGCAACGGCCTCGCCCTCAAGGGGCTCGAGACAGTTGAGGACCTGGCATTCGCTTACCCGGACCTTAATAGCTTCGATACTTTCTTGCAGAGCCTTTCCGAATCCGACCTCAGCGACATGGGAGTCTCGGATGCACTGCACTCCGTCCAAGCAGCACGAGCCAGGAAAGCCTTGCGATCAGCGCACAAGGCACAAGAGGGACCCCAGCCTTCACCGACGATGCCATCCCTCACAGCAGCCCTCGCCCCTTCAGCCTCGCCATCATCATGGATGGAGCATTTGCCGCCCAGGCTCAGCTCCGAAGTCGTGCAAGACCTGGTCACGACATTCAAAGCCAACTATCCGGGAGAGCTCCTGGACGATGATACCATGCCCTCAATTCGCCTTCTCAGCCTCGTGCAACATAGCCTTCAGCCAGGAGAAAAGCTTAAGTGGATACCCTGGCAGCTTCGCCTCAGCTCCAAACAGTACTCCGAAATTATGGAGGCCAAGTCATCCAAGCCCATGCGGACGGAAGCCCAGCTACTTGCATCAGCCATATATGACGACACGCCCGAGATGGCCGTGTCCCATCTCCGCCTTTCCGTATCCTGGCTGCAGCGCATTCAAACGGTGTTCAGGAACGCCTGGGCCCTCTGTGGGGCAGCCCACCTGAATAACCTCAAAGCCTTTGACAAGCGAGTCGAGCATTTAGCCGTACCGGACTTAGCCGACTCGTCTCTCCGGGGACCAACAACCCAGGAGCTCCTGGCAGCCGACCGCAAGATTTGGAATACTATCTCCAGCCTTGCGGCCTCTGGGTGGAGCCTTGACGAAGCCCACTATGAGGTCACCAGCATTCGAAGTGACCTAGCCAACTTGCTTCAGCCTAGGCCGCGTCCGCCGCCTACACCGCCAGGCCCTAACCGCCGTCCCAATGGAGGGAATCCGCCACCCCCGCCAAGCAAGAGAATCCGCCTCAATACGCCAACCACAGAGAAAGGCGGCAAAGGCAAAGGCCGTGGCAAAGGCCTTCAGAAGCCCGATAGCCCTTCTAAGTCTGACTCCTGGCCCTCTAACTGGGTTCTCAAGGCCAAAGGCAAAGTGCTCTGCAAGCGTTACCAGCGAAATCTTTGCGCCTTGCCTAATTGCAAATTCGCCCACCTCTGCGCAGTTCGTGGCTGTGGCAAGGAACACTGTGCCGTCGACCATGACAAGAAACCTTCGTGACTAGGACCTGCAACAGACGAAGGGCCGCAGCAGCAGGATCAGCCTTTGCATGCGCCAGTTACCGAAGCCTCAGAGGCGGCAACCATGGACCAGCCCCGGCCAACAGAGAACCCAAGTCATAGCTCTCAGCCTTTGCACCACGCCCCGGACCCGCACAGCAGCCCTCAACCTCACGTGCGCGCGTAGCAACCCCGGCGGGGGTCCTGCTGGTCGGCGCTTTGCCAATCGAGTCTGGACGGCTCGCAGCCAAAGCAAGCCCCGCAAGCCGCCCATAGTTCCCAGCCTTAGGGCCCTAGCGGTTTGCCCCTCCATCCCCATAGGCTCTACCTGCCTGCGTCACCTCCGCGACACCGACGTCTACGCCATTGACCTTGCAAAAGAAGATCCTCAGAAGCTGCCCGACCTCCTACTGCAAGCCATTTGGTCACGGGTGGTCCTTGCGGTCATTGCAGACCTTAGCTCACTGGCCTCTGACATCGACGAAGCCTGCGCATTTCTGCAGGCCATACGCTCCTCAGGAGCCTCGGCCCTCCTCTTCCTACCAGCAGATCACTTCCTCTTCCAAGCGCCGCCCTTTTGCGAGGCAGTCCACGACGGCGGGCTCTGCCCTGAACCGGACTCTGACAGGATCATCCTTGCCACAGCTCCCTTGCCCACCTGGCCCTGCGCAGACCCGGGTTTAGCAGCCACGGAAGCAGCTGGCATGCTGCTAGCCATGCCACTCTCGGCCAAACCCCCGCAACCTCCTACCCTTGCACTAGCCCTACAAAGTCATGCAGAGCTAGCCAGCGACAGGGCACCCATCTGCGACGGAGCCGGTAATGCCAGCTCCGCGGATTGGAGCCGACCTCAGGTAAGCCCCGCAGCCATGCAGGACATCATGCAAGCGTGGCTAAAATGGGCTTCCCAGCGCGACCTGCCCAAGCGAGTCTTCGCGCACCTCTCTCAGAGCAAGCCGGACCACCCTATCCCAGAGGAGGACCAGCTTGAGCTTATTCGAATAGCTTGTGAGGTCATGGACTGGGACTACGACTCTATGACTCAAGCGGCCGACGGCCAGCCCTTTCGCCTTAACCTTATGCAGGCATTTGCCGATCTCCTCAATGACCCAGACAAAGATCTCCCTGCCTTGCTACGGGTCGGAGTGCACACTGGAGTCTTCGACCCCATCGAGCCCTCAGGACTCTGGCCTCTAGCCAAGCTTCAGCCTTTAGCCTCCTCAGGACTGGAGGTCTGCGAAGGCAACTGGAAGCCGGCGGAGGCAGACCCTGACACGGTCCCAAGCCTGCTTGCAGAGGAAGAGGCCTCAGGATGGATTCAGCCAGGCGCATGTGGCCCAAAGGCATAGCCGTTGGTAAGCTCAGCCTTGTTAAAGCAGAAAACCGAGACCCTCGCCTCGTCTTGGACAGCACGGTTTGCCAGGTCAATCCCATGTGTCGCATCCCGGAAGCCGTTGCCATGCCCACAGTCAACGATGTCCGGGCCACCTTCATGCCTTCAGACCCTAGGGGTTCTTTCCTAGCAGCCAGCGTCGACTTCAAGGCAGCCCACAAGAGAGTCAAAGTCCACCGCTCAGAACAGGGGCTGCTCTTATTCATGTTCGAGAAAATCCTTTACAGGTACGTCGTTTGCCATTTTGGAGCCAAGTTTTCAGCCTACTGGTGGCAGCGAGTCGGCGGCCTTATTACACGGATAGCACACCATGCCCTAGCCTTTGCTCCACACAAAGCCTGGCTCTATGTCGATGACCTCCTGTCAGCCCTGCTCCGAGCATTTGCGCCTGAACTCCTGTTTCTGCTCATTGCCACACTCTCCAGCTTGGCCGCCCCGATTAGCTGGAAGAAGGCCTCCGTGGGGGACAGCCTTATATGGTGCGGTTGGCACTTTAATTTTCGCCTTGAAACCGTCGACCTCTGCGAAGCCAAGCGAGCCAAGCTGTGCACTCAGCTCAAAGCCTTGCTAGCACGCAAGAAGGTCCCCAGGAAAGACCTTGAAGCCTGTATAGGCCTACTCATGTGGGCGACAGCCATCAGCAAGGTCCTCAGAGCCCACGTCGCGCCTTTGTACAGCGTCCTTAACAGCCCTCCTGGCAGCAATTGCTCCATATCTCCTCGGATGTGGCCAGCCTTCCTCCATAGCCTTGACTCCAGGGGGGTTGTCTGCAGGCTCGTACCCGGAGTCAATCTGCCGCTCAAAGCCCGCATCATCGAGGTCGGTAGTCGACCAGTGCACTGCAAAGCCGACCTCCCGCCACAGCCTAAATCTTCGGGCCCCACTTGGGTCCGCATCTCGGATCCTACCTGCCCTGAGATCAGGCTTACCAACACTGCCCAGGACAGCCTGCGCTGGCTCCTGCCACGCATTGAAGCCATACCCACAACCAGCCTTTCGCTCCCGCCCCTGGTCTCCTGTCTGGCCAGAGCCGACGCAATGGCCGAAGGGGACCGAGTTGGCATAGGCGGCTGGATTACCACCAAGCACAGCATGGCCTGGTTTGCCGAAGCTTGGACCATGGACGAAGTCCGGCGCACCTGGCCTTTCCTTACCAAGGACGCACAGAAGTACATTGCCTGCTTTGAGACGGTGGCACAGCTGGCACTTGCCATGACAGCCCGAGAACGCCACGCCTTCTCGCAATTCTCGGTCTGCTTGCCATCGCAGAGCGATAACACGCCCTCGGAAGCGGGCATCAACAAGCTTTTTACAACCAGCTGGCCCCTATCGATGTTCCTGCAGTTGATAGCCTCCTGGTCGTCCTGTCATGGTGTAGACCTCCAAGTGTCCCACGTCGCGGGGGCACATAACCAATGGGCAGACGACCTTAGCCGAGGTCGACTGCAAGCCTTCAGTCACCGACCGCAAGAACGCGTCAGGATCAGCCTTGACCGCCTGGCGTCCGCAGCCTCTCAAGCCACCTGGTCCGCCTCGTCGGACAGGGAAAGCCCTTTGTTGCCACGACAGGACTGATTCAGACACCCAAGCCGCGCGGAGAGCAAAAAGCGCAGCCACGCCTTCCGCATGCCAGCCGGGTCAATCACTGCATGCTGACTAGCCGTGTATTACCCGCCTTGCTCAGGTCCAACTCCACCGCCCGCGGTGGGGGATACTTGCCTGCTGCCTTACCGGTTGGATCTGTCCCTGAAGTGGGGGAGTTTATGCCTTGGCTAGCCCTTTAGACCTTGGCACCTCCGGGCTAGCCGCAGAGCCTCACAGATCCAATACGGTATAAAAGATGGCAGCAAGTGATAGAGCAGTGCAAGCCTTTCTAGAACGTTTCGTGTTTTTGTTCACGTATGTTTTAGAAGGCGTGTGAATCTATAGCACATCGCGGCACTGGCTCTAGCACTTGATTTTTCTCGAAAAGCCCCACCCGCCCACACCTAGGCTTGACGCGTTCGGCCCCGGCCTCAGCGTCCTGCATGGCCTTTCTTCGTTCAGCCTTGAACACACTAAGCTTCACAGCCCGCCAACGAGCCCTCAGCTCCTGCCGGTCCTCCAGCGAGGCCCGCTGCTCACACAAGTTGAGCCTGCTCCTCCGCCGCGGTGGCCTGCCTCAGGTTCGCCGTCTAGCCTTCCTGGCCTCACCGACTTTGCCCTGTGCCTGCTCCCTA